TCTGTGCTCTGCTCTCTGTTGCCAGCTCTTTCTTTCTGTCCCTTATCTATGCTATGGTGGGCTCTGCATTGCTTCTGTGCGTATGGTCTCTTAGTTGGTGTGTGTGTGTGTGTATGTGTGTGTGCGTGCCTGCTTTCCCTTCAACTTTGTGAGATGCACATGACCGTGTTATCTCACAACTTCCTTAATGAGGATTTTGTAAACACTGTCCTGTAGCCTCTTCCTTGTGGAAGAGCTATTTTGTTTGGGTGGGTGCTCCAGAGTTGATATTCTGCACTTGTTTATTTGCTTTGTAAATGGTGGATTCTTGCGAGCTGCTGCCTAGGCTCCATTGACCATTTCGCTTTTTGTTTTGGACAAAATACACCACAGGTCTGTTGATATCGTTCAGTGCAACAGGATGCATCTATTAGGCAACGGTGGCACAAATGAAATTGAAATGCAATGAGGTGTGAGGCCTTAATGATAGAGCGTAAAAGATACTGAGTTCACTTTGGGTCTTGACAACATTTCAAGTAGCTCGTGAGAATGACAGAGCAGTACAAAATCATCATTCCCGTTCGTTCAGCCACTTCCACACTTGTGTAACGCTTGCTGAAAGTTACTTCCTCTGAGAAGAGCAGCAGTATGTCTGAAAAGGGGTTAACTGAAATCAAGAAGAGGTGAGGCACGCTCACGACATTTCATCTGGGGCACCAGCTTGCAAGGCATTCCTCTCAATTAGAATAACAGGAACAAGTCAAAGGTGATGGCAGTGGAAACTGGGTGACTAATGAAGCAGGCGTCCGAGGCCTCGTCCAGTGTATTGGCACGTGCTACACGCTACAGTACGTGTGAAGCAAACAAACAGCTAAGCCGTGAGAGACTCTGATGACACTAGTTAGCAACGTTTCACGCTGGCTTCCAATCAGATCCGAACAACTGCTCGGTTCGTCACCTGAACCCTTGTCTCACTACACAACTGTCCTTCATTCCTGAGCTTCTTTGTGTGACCCGCAGATACACTCCTGATTTTGGTGCGTCACACAGATGGGAAGGAATGAGCCTTTCCTGCCTCTGCCACTCATCTGCCAGGCTGATGGTTGACAGACGTTCTTGTTATCTGCCTCTTTGTTAAACTGCTGCTGCAACAGGCCGTCACATCTTCCTGGTGGACTTAAGAAAGCTTGATAGTAAAAAAATGTCTATTTGCACACAGTCAGGCCCCTCCATATGGTCTCCATTATCGGCCCAAGAGTGTAACAACTGAGGATTTAGGGAGCCCACAGTTGCTATTTTTGGACCAAAGCTTATAGGAGCAGATATTAAGTCCTGATATCCTGTTTCTGAATTTTAACGATTTCCGTCTGTGTGTTCACTCCCCAGTGTTATCCTTTTACGGCTATTGAAAATCAACACAACTTTCACCACAAAACCTCTGCTGTAATACTTATTATTTTTACTGTTTTTAAAGTAGTACATAATCATTTTTGTCGTCGTTGACAAAACATTGACTAAGTCACCATTTTCAAACACATCCAGGAGGACCCAGAGTTGCCAAAGACCCTTTGTCTTCGCCAACTCCTGAGGGAAAGGTCTGGATATTCACCTAACCTTTCCCCGCACTTCTGTCATGATATTGTGGGGTTTTAGTGGATATTCCAGTACCTGTTATTAATAACTGGAAGGTTGGGGCTGTTTCCACCAGAATCTGCTGCTCTCAGGCAAACACAAATCCAAACTGGGACCAAAGAATAATTTCTGATATTTCTTCATAGACCCAGAATGGACCACAGCGCAGAAGACATATTCATTGCTGGGCCTAGTTTGACTGTGGTTATCTAGGTTCCTCCCTCAGTCAAAACACAAGTGTGGGGATATGCTGAAGTGACTCTAAATTGACCGTGGGTGTGAATATGAGCAGAAATGGTTGTCTGTTTCGATTGTCTGGCCCTGCAATAGACTGATGACTGCTAGGATAGGCTTGAACAGTTTGCTTCTCTTATAGCTTGTATATTAAAGATGGATGTAGCCATCTTTTGTTTCATAACATCGTCCAGTCCTCTCTTGGCCCGAGTGATGTTATGATCGCCTACCTATTGGCTGCATCTGTTTGTACCATCCGGTGTGCCAGTTAAAGCAGCCACGCCCCCATTTTTAACCCCTTTTGACGGAGAGTTTGATAATAATAATAATGGATTGGATTTATATAGTGCTTTTCAAGGCACCCAAAGCGCTTTACAATGCCACTATTCATTCACACACTGGTGGAGGCAAGTTACGGCAGACTGACAGAAGCGAGGCTGCCATATCGCCATACCACATCGGCCCCTCTGGCCAACACCAGTGGGCGGTAGGGTGTTGACACTTTACCCTTTACACCCTACCACTTTACACCCTACCTACCTGGTAGGTAGGGTAAAGTGTCTTGCCCAAGGACACAACGACCAGGACAGAGAGCCCGAGGATCGAACCGGGGATCGAACCGGCGACCTTCCGGTTACAGATACGCTTCCCAACCCCCTGAGCCACAGTTTAGATGAAACCTAACCTCCTGTACTGTGCTGATGAAGGGCGGAGTTAGCTAAACAGACCTTAGAGGTTTTAATGGGAGTTACAGAGTCTCGGGATTGACACCTTTTTGAAGTTCACATAATTTTTTCAGCCATGTATCTGTCCCGATGTTCCTTAACGTTCCTCGAGAAAGATTTTTTTTCTGTTTTCTGTTATTAATTTGTTTGAACTGTGGGGGTAACACAACACGTATTGGTACAAAAAAGCTTGAATAAGCTGTAAGATCAATTTGCGCATCGACAGACACATTTCAATTTGTGCAACTTTATTAATTTACCACTGAAATGAAACATGTTTGAATGACACACATTCTTTGTACTCTCTAACATTCATATTAGTTAAAGTCCCGTTATCCTCGGATCAAAGGGTTTGAGCAGAGTTGATGCCTGACCCTAGATTCCCATGCAAGTAATTCATGTAAATGAGTTCTGTTCAGTTACACCAGATGAAGGCAATTCATACACAGTGACGTGACTGTTGCAAACGGGAGGATCAAACATGTCCTTAAAATAAACACAAATATAATAGTCAATAATTTATCTATAGGACCAAACGGTGACTCCCAGTTCCCGTGTTCATGGATGAGGCTTCCCTTGTTAACAGGATCATAAATCCACATGTAAGTGAATCTCAGAATTACGTTTAAGTAGGAGCTTTCTCTCTCGTGAGGAACTGCTGAATGTCTCTTTGCAGCTCGCCGTTGCGTCTCTGGGCCTCGTCTCTGCTGCGTTCTGCATTTTTTAGGCAGATCTCCAGAGCGGCCACACGGCGGCGTTCAGCCTCCAGGGCCGACTGGAGCTCTGCCACGGTGGCCTTCAGTTCCTTGTTCTCCTGCTGCAAACTGCAAGAGGCAATGACAGACATAAACAGGTTCACATGTGCAGTAAGAAAGTCAAAAGAAAAGCTAAGCTGTGCCAGGAAGAGTTTCTACACCGGCAGTTTTCCTTCCAAATAACTTACGTCAGTTTTGTGTGAACACATGGACTTCCAGTATAAATAAACTCGTTTTAAGTTTCCAGGAATCTAGTACAATTTATGTTTATTATACTCCAGGGTCTGCTTTGCTCATATAAGATTCTCTCACATTGAATCCAGGCTCTAAATGTTCTGCAACAGCACATCTACACTCTACAGTTTCGGGGTAGAAATTGAGCATTTCATTTCAGTATTTCTAAAACATTTCATTTTAGGAAAATTAGTGTTTAGTGACTGAAATGGTGGGTCAGGGCGTCCATGTGACTCTTTTGCTAATCTCACCTGTCTAGAAGTGGCAGCCCGGGGTCTTTCTTCAGCTCTGGCAAGCTGTTGACCTGTGGAAGAGGACTGCTCACTGGTGTGGTGTCTACACTCTTCTGATTAGAGAGCATCCGGGGAGACTGGAAGTCACTTTCAGGGGTTTGCGGCACAGAAGTGAAAGAAACTAAATTCTCACTCCCCCTCCGAGTGGTCAATCTGTCCTCCTCCTCTTTGTTACTCATTGTAGACCCCCCGAAAAATGATCCTGATGTTCGCAGGTCTAGGATTTTAAAAATGTCCTCTGACAGCGTGGCGCTCTTCTCGTCTGTGCTCTCCTGGATCCGACTCCACCTGTTGAGGGCTTCGGTCTTGGCTGCCATCCCGGTGAGCGGACAGTTGAAGGTGGGGAGGGTTTGGGTGCGTTTGCGGGGGCTTCCTAGCCAGTCATCTACAGAAGGAGACAGAGGTTCCTGCAGCGAGGTTTTGGGGCTGTGGTCTCCCCTGAGTGGACCCGGACTGTCATTGTCCTCCTCCTCTGGAGACTCAGACAGACATGCGTCACCCATCTGGCACAAACACAGAAAACACAGACTGATTACACATACAGAGATTTGCTATTTGCTGACAACATAGGCCTAAATTTCTTATTAAGCTATTATCATCCTCAAATGTATCCATGTAGCAAAAGTACTCTACCTCTCGGTCAATTTACCAGTAAGAAAACCATTAGTAACCATTAGCATAATAACAGTCACAGTCTTACATGTCACACAGAAACACAGGAATTAACTCCAGAGTCGATCTGGACGTCTCCATCTGCGTTATTTATTTATTCGTTAGGAGCCCCATTAGTTCCGCCTTAAAGCACAGCTAATCCTAAGTTTTCTACTCTTTGTTCTATATGATCTCAGTGACAGTGGGCATCCCTAACACGATCATCTCAAGCACACAGCTCAGGCTTTAACTCGTTTCCTGTTTAAACCTGTTGCTCACGAGGGGCAGCCAATCAAGAGAAAGCTGACTTAAATTAAGAGGAAAAGGAGCAAAGACAAGTCCAGACAATGTAAGGCCTCACCAAAGTCATGCATGTGAGAGACGAGGATTATTCTGATCAGTTAATCATGCAAAGCTACCCTAGCAGTGTCCAACAATAACATATAGAGCAGAGAATGAGCAGAATAAGTCCCATCAAACCAAATACATACACATTAAACACATATGAACACATAAGATGTGACCTGCAAATAAAAGACAAAACGACAGCAGCAGGATCACGTCTGAGTGGCTGACCACTGTTTCTTTGTTTCTTTGTTCTTTACATGAGAAGACTGGAAAACTAAAAAGAGAATGGAGAGCTAGCCCAGCTTTGTCTAAGGTACAAACATGTATGTCCTGTCACCTCAACAGCTCAACCATTACCGCATCACCACGATCCTTGTGTACTGAGTTGACATAAAGCTTCTATCAGCTGCTCCCTTATTCACAAGAGGCCACCACAGAGGACAGATCTGTGTGTTTGATTTGGCAGATTTTGAAGCCAGCTATTCTTCCTGATCCTCCCAGTCTCTCCTCCTGGTCCCAGGGTTTCTTCACAGTGTGGAGTAGCTGTGCCAAATAATCACTGTGCTACATGAACAATCTCCTGGATCCACTCGTATGTTTATACAAGTGTTTATGTTTATCGATGTCACGATGAGTGATAAGTTTTTCCCAACATCAACCAGCCACCTGGTAATTGTCATTGTTCTGTAGCCGCTTTTGTTAATAAACTAGCTCTGTTGTTTGTCACATATATAAATTCTTATGAAAAAGCTAGTTTAAATCTTTTATAAATTCAAATTTCAGTAAAATAATGTGTCATTTTGACACACTAACAAGCTGGTTGCGAAAGCCTAATGTGCGGCTGGAGGCTCGTACCTCTGCAGACTCCCAGCCCACAAAGCTTCTGGGAGCATTCTTCTGGCTCTCTGCCTTGTTTGAAGGAGAGGGGGGAAGCACATCTTTGGAAAGAGGAAACAGAGTCTCATGTTGTCTGATCATCACCGTCATCAGCTTCTGGATCTGAGGAGTCGCTGTGAAGAACAGAAACGTGAAAAGATTATGATCAAAAGCTCTTATCTTTTGGCTTTTATTCTCATTTTTGATACACTTTCTTCAGTCTTCAATATTTACTTGGATGGGTTTTTGCAGTTCACACAGATCGTTACAGAGACATGAGATCACTGGCTGAAAAAAGGAACCGAAAACAAGCAGAGGTAGAATCTACTTAGAAGTAGATGTGCTAAATATTACAAAAGTATCTAAATGGTACACCAGGACTGGTTTATCTGAGCAAACACACTGTTGTTGTCTCTTGTTGTTGCCCAATATATCTAACAGAAACACAGCTGAAACCGGGGTCTTTTGAGATGAACCAAAACAGGTACATCAGTGAGCTGTGTGTCCTCACCCTTCATCACAGTGATAGGATCTTCTATCTGAGGTTTGAGCAGGTTGATGCCCATCACAGTTGCCAAGTTCTCCACGTTCATCTTATTCACCTTGGAGTGTTGCTGTACCTCAAACAAGAACCTGAAGAACAACAGGACACGTAACCAGACACAGGATACTATGTCTCAGACTGAGAGGCTGATCTCAAAACAATACTGGGGTGATGGACCAGAGGGTCTCTGTAGGATCTGGTAGATGTACGGGTGTCTTTCTTTTAAGCATATTAAGTTATTTTCAAGTTTGGATGTAATGACGTCCTTCAGCATCTACTCACCGACAAACGTAGCTGAGAAGATTGTAGTTTACTCTGGGGAGCAGAGCAATTTCTTTGTTCAACCTCTCCCAGCCCTGAAAACACATGCAAGCAACCAGTTTAAAGGATACATACGCTCAAAACATCAGAGGATATCCACTTCTTGTCCACATGTACGCTCAGCTCTGTATTCATCTTGCAGTGTGTTTAAATTAAGTGCACCTCAGAGCTGGTGGAGTCCAGGAAGTTGGTACAGTTCAGGAAGTCTTGGTACTGACTCCAGGGGACCACAGGTTCAGGCAGCTCCCGCAGGTACAGCTTGAGTAGTGACGCCACCGTGTGGACATCTGTGTCGCTGTGGCAATTTAAACGATACTCATTACCCAGCGAGAATAAACCATAGGGATGCATATTGGCTGACTGGTGTGGAAGCTCTTGAGTTTATCTGCACATCATGAAAGGCTTTGCACAATTATGCTTTCAATCACACTAAGATATGTGTAAATATTTTCTTGGATGCACAAATAATCTTGACATGGTGGTGTGTAGCATAAACAGGGTTTGGGTCTCTTGTTTGCTGTTGTAACTGTGACAAGAGTGCAGTTCGAGAGGGAAACTCGAGGCCTTGCCTTTGATTTTTGTTGCAAAGTATCTGTCGGTTGGCTCAAAACTCATGTTCCCTGACTCTACTCACATTAGATTACAGACAAACAAGCAAGTTAAGTTAAATGGATGTTTTCATCTACGGTTTTCTGTCAGAGGAGCTTGTGATGTTGAGTAATAAAGGCATCCTCCCCTGTGCCTGCCAGAACAGGATGTGGTATCACCCTCAGCTCTGAGCAGACACAAATCTATCAGCTTCTCACTACATCTCTCTCATCTCTCCTTGCTTTCTCAGAAGAAGAAGAAGAAAAAAGAGCTGATGCTGTTGATTGATTGAGGTTAGGATATTTGTCTCCTTTTATGGAAGTGGTTCTTATCGAGACAGCTAAATTTGTTTGAAGCACATTTACTGTGTCTTAAAGTTCTTTAAGATGTGATAATTAATTTGTGTCATAACAACTTTACACTCACTATTTCCTGTGAATTCTATATGAAATTCATGCTTCTGTCTTTTTCACGGGACTGCTGTGATGAGCTAAATGCACCCAATGATTCATTAGCTTATATAGTAGCAAAACATGAAGTAATTTATCAATCTTTTACATCATTGTGAAGACATTTTGGCCACTCTTCTTTACTACATTGTTTAACTTCATTAAGGTTTGCGGGTATTCGTTTATGCACAGCTCTGTTAAGGTCCTGCCAAGCATTTCAGTAGTGTTGAGATCTGGTCTTTGCCACTGCAACACCTTCATTCTTTCCTGTTTTACCTGCTGCTCTAGAATACTTTGGTATACAGAGGAGACTATGGTTGACTCAATGACTGCAAGGTGCCCGGGACAAGTGGCAATAAAACAAGCCCAAGTCATCACCCCTCCACCAAACATGGCCAAACATCTCCACATTGTTGCAGAAGGGGTTGTTTCAGATGCAACTTTGCAAAGCTGGGCTGTGCAACCGAGGACTTTTTAGAGAGAAGAGGCTTTCTCCTGAGAACACTTTCAAGCAGCCATACTTGTTATGTTGTGCTCTCAACATATAATGCTAACTGAGGCCTGTAGAGACCGAGATGTAGGTTCACCAGCTGACACTCAGGGCAGGACTCGCACCATTGGCGCACATCCGGCCAATACAATCGGGCCATTATTTGCTTTAGTCCTGGGAAGATTGTGGTATTGTGTTAACACACCTGAATGCTCCAAAGATTTGCATTTATAGAGGTGCTCACACTTGCTGATAATCAGTTAATCAAGTTCATTTGATCAGCAGCACCTGGCTGCCACTCACCCTACCCTATAATTCCTATGGAAGCTCGAAGAATGTGCTCAGTTTTCCAGGGTCAGATGCAATGATAATCTCATACCTCCCATGTCTTGAATGACTATAGAGAGAATAGTGAGGTCATTACCTGGGGAAGGAGGGCCTCTCTCCTGCATCAAAGGCATCTCTGAACTGTTTGACAGCATTATCCTGACCAGGGAGGCGGAAGATCCCCTCTTCGTCCAGCCCATGTTCTTTGATGAACTCCACGCACTTCTGCACCAGGATTGGGACCATTTGAGGTCCGAAGCGCTGCTCATATGTCACAGTGTCCATGAGACTCTTTCCAAATACTGCAGACATACGGAGAGCAAAGATATTTGGCATAGTTAGACAAATGATTTATAAAACAGCTATTGTCCCTTTTCATGTTAGTGAACAGGTTATCGTAGGGCAATGCTTAACGCTTAATCACTCGATTTGGTCGAATAAAAACATTTATATCGAGAGAACAATTGTCATTTCTTTACATTTCTTGAACAAACATATTTATTTTTGACATCAGTTTTCTTTAAATTTGCACACAGCAGGAAATAGTCTGTTTCAAACACATTACTAGAAATACTCCATAGTTTCGAGTACAGGAGTTTCCTGCTCACAAGTGTGAATGCACTCAAATATGAGCTGCTCAGTTTTCACACTAACATGATCTGACTTGACACATCACACAGACTTTATACTGGGCAGGTTAAAGACCAGCAGAAAACCCCAATATTACTGCATTTTAAATTACACCACTGTAATCTTTTGGCTCTAAAAATCTGGATTGAGCTGCAACAATATTTTTGCCTACTAATGAAGCTGTTTTGTAAAATTAGCCTGTGAATATCACTCACAGATATAAATGTGTAGACCTTTAATAACATGACTACTCTACAGTAGGATATTTATGGATATTTGGTATTTGAACTGTCATTGCAACAATATCACACTTTGTTGTGGTGAAATTATAGAACTAAGATAGCTAAAACTGCTTCCTGACCTACTGTTGTCCAGTGGAGGACAGAAAAAACCTGCAGCGGGTGGTGAGAGAAGCAGAAGCACACTAAGCCCCCATCACGAACATCTACACTGGCAGACTCCAGCAGAAAGCCTGCAGTAGTCAATGCTTCCTCTCAGCCTGGTTATTCCTTTTCTTTTACCCACACCCTTCTAGAAAGTGCTACAGCTTCTACAGCTGCAACTAAACCTTCTACAAGCGTCAAATGTGTCTTCTCTGAAGAACATATGATCCGTCCCCACTTTGAACTTTACTACAGCAGGTCTCTATACACTCCTCTGACCCCATTTGACACTACATTGCATATACTATATATATATATCTTTTAATCATAAAGATGATCTTATCTTATAATTGCTTAATTTTTACAATTATCTTTCGCCATAAAATATAGGAACTGTGAAATCGTGGTAAACAATTATCTATTAGCATGCATCAGCCTCCTTCAGAGTGGCTATGAAGCTATGCATGGCCCTTTGAACCTGAAATTGTGCAAGTGAATCAAATTAAAAATGGCCTAGTTTGTCAAATGAAACCGAGAAATTGTGTAACTCTGAGTGGATGTCCTCGATTTAGCAACTGTCATGCTGGCTGTTCTCTTTCTTTTAGCCCCACATGGATACTCGTCAGAAAACGCAGTGCACTTGCTCTGAAAATGACTTTCATTATTACTATTTGTTACTGCAGATGAAGTGTAATAGTAAGTCAAACGCAAGCAAAACTGCCCCAGCAATACTGACTTCTCTGTTATCCTCGGTGAGTTTACCCTTATGGATTTGGCATCCATAGCTTGGGGAACTAAAGATTGACCATTGTTGTGTTATTTTAGTCTGACAAAGCTTTTTTCAGTTTGTGAGCTTCATATTTCATGAACACGAGAATGCAGAGAATCATTGGCAACAATCAGAATGCATTAAAATGTTTCCTATTTTCAGGGTTTCTGTCAAAACCGCACAGCTGGTTTGACTCTGTCTGATGCTAGGCTCTAGCCAAGGCTAATTTACCTTCAAACACTACTAATACAAGACCTTAAAATAAATATCCCGTTGTTATAGCAAATGTTTTTTCAGCTATTTATTAATAAGTGACTTTTATGTATATATATGCTTGTTTATATTGTGCTATTCTTAGTTAGTGTATTGTGTGTCTTTGTTGATGTTTGTTTATAATGGAGCACTGTAATGGAAAATAATTATTCTGATTCTGATTCAAATATTTTGAAATATTGTGTTTTTATGGGTAGGTAATATGTTTTGACTATTAGCTAGATTGATGACTTCCTCTTTTACATGAAGCTTAGCTAAGCCTTGCTGACATGGATGTTTTTTTTAGTTTTTTTGTTCGATTAAGTGTTTTACTTTTGGACGGTGCCAGGCTAGCTGTTTTCCTCTGTTTCCATTCCTTTTGATTAGCTAAGCTAAACAGCAGCTGACTGTAGCATCACGTTGTCAAAGGTCAAATATGAGAGCACCGTTAGTCCACTTATCTCAGCTGAATTTGCCGACAACGTCCAAGTTTTTAATTTCATTAGTCAAACAGGATTGTTTCAGTTTGATAATCTGTGACAGATTTTACTGAACCTCCGCTTGTTGGCGCTCCGATGACTCTGCGCAAGGTGCGCACCCACTCCTCCATGTCACTCTGGGAGTTTGCCATCAACACATGGGGACATCGCTCTCTGTCTCCAGTCGAGCCTGTCAAACAAACAGGAAACAAGAAATATAACAGGAAATATAAAAAGGTTTCTGCTGTCCAATGACAATGAAGGGATTCCCCTAAAAAAAAATCCTCTTTAGGTGTTGGAGTAAAAATATCATGTAAGGTCTCAATTGTGAGTGTTGAGTGTGTTACGTACGTGGTATGATCTCAAAGAGGTACTTTCCAGGGTCATCTGAATTCGGGGGGAGTTCGTTAACTTTACTGAAGCGCATCTGGATGACTCCCTGCAGGCCAGATCACATAAGCACAAACACACTCAGAATTGTAAAGTCCTTCATTGCCAAGAATCAACCAGCGCAATTCACACACATACTTACATTTACCCTTTAAAAAGCAGTTGGTATCCATGCTGTGTGAGCAGTGGGAAGGCCTAAAAAGGTGCTTTTGTTGCTTATTATTACTATTTAAATGCTTACAAGCTGATGTAGTTTAGGATGCATTAATGTTCACTGTTTATGACAGAGAACTAACAGCCCTAGCCTCTGTTTTCACTTCCTCTATCTCCCATTACCCTCAACCCCCCTAAGTATTCAAACTAAAACATTATTAAAACAGAAGGCTTTTTGGAGTAAATCCTCAATTTTGTGCTTTTGCGGGAGACAAATCACTTACAACAGAAGAGGTTAGGAGCAGCTACAGCTGGCAACATGCAGTCCTAATTACATTTTATATCTAAGGAAATAAAACGCTGCTTTGTTTCTTCATGTTTCACACCTTGATATGGTTGATAACTTTGACCACTTTTTGCTACACCAGTTTCGCTGCAAACAAAACTACGTTTTCAGAGCTCAGACAATAATAATAGTTTGCTTGCCTTCATTTTATAATGAATACCAACATGTAGTTACGGTTCAGTTACAAAGTGCTCATTAAGTCGACTCAACTACCTTATTAAGAAGTTCAATTCCAGTAGGATTTTAAGCAGTATAGTAGTATTCAATTGCTATAGACGGTGATGAGTAATTTAATCATGCACCTTTGCAAAATACCATAATGTAACTATTCGAAATGAGAATGCAAATGAGTCTTTTCAATTGCATGACAAGCAGTGATAGACGTAGATAAGCATCAGAATAATGGGTTGAGGTTTGGAGCGCAGGTCTTTATTGAGCAGAGCAGAGCGTGACTGTGCACACTTCTTTCTGCTAACATAGCAGCTATCGATCCATCCATCAGTCACTGCACACTTAGTGTCAGCTTTGCGATCCTGACATGAAGGCAGATAAAACAGAACCTGAGCATCTGAGCTGCAAGTGGAACTGATGCCTGGTATTTCAGCTAATGTCCAAATCTGGAACTTCCCTGACACACCCACACAGGACACTACAACATCAGTGGACATCAGTGGAAAGTGCTGACTGTGGCAGACAAGCAGACGTTGGTTGGCTGGCTTTTAGCCAATGATTCCATTGGTAATAGCGTTCAGCTAACGCTGAAACATTAGAAATAAACGGAGCAACATTTTACGTTTAGGCACTGATGAGTTTGTGTAAATATAAATAACCTCTTTATGCAACTCAAAGGAAGGACGACATTTTAAAGGAAGTTTTAAGATACTTTTTCTCACATCTTTTTTAATTTCTTTGAGCGTTTGCGGTTACAGTACAGGTTAAGCCGTCTATTACAATATAAAAATGTAATTATTTATGGCATCATCTTTCTGAAGGTTTGTTTTTTGGCCCAGACAGATCTACAGCATACCAACAAAACTTAGCTTTTTCAGAGATGAATGTTACAGATGTATACATGCAAAACATGGCTTTAAATCGCACATAAATGTGCAATATTAAAATTCTTTCAATGGCAGAAGGTCTTTCATGTGAGGCTTCCTGCATCAGTTGTTTTCTCTACAGGAAATGTGTAAGGTTAGCCACACAGCTAGCAGTAAGTTTGTGGTCTTAATTAGACTTGATAAAAGACACATTTCTTATTAACGGATGAATTCTTCTACAAACGTGTGCATTTAATTATGAATAAATGCATTTATTGCAAAAATAGCAAGTTTATGTGACAGGAATGATGATTCGGGTTTTATCTGTGCTTATCTCCACGCTTAACATTTGCATGAAAGAAGCATAGCTTCAATAAGAAACTGGGACATGGAAATAACTTTGATGTCTTGTCATCATAAGAACTTCTTTTAAATATATAAATATGACATGTGATAACATGTGAATGACTTGTTTTGGAAGTGATTTTATTCTAACAAAGGCCAAAGTGGATATAGAAATGAATAATTTTGGAAATCTGGATTAATCTGGTAAGGTCAGCCTTACCTGGACAGTAGTCTCCTTATCATCTTTGTGGTAAGTCAAAGTGCTTCCTCTCAGAACAAAGTAGCGCTGCTGCCAGTTCTTCACTAAAGACCTCTGTTGCTTCTTCAGCCAGCCGGCCTTCAGCGGCCTCTCCATGGACCTGTAGGAGCGCGGCGAGCCCTGGCCTGGGCCTCCCTCTCCAGGTATCACACTCTTGGACCGCGCTGCCAAACACCACAAGGAGGCAGCTTGTAAAAACGTCAAGAACAACAGCGCGCAGCGTGCTGTGTCACAGCCAGAGCGATGAAATATTACCAAAACACCAGCAGTACTCAACTTCAGCAGAGCACTTCCTCTTTTTTGATATGAATATGCATCAGCCTATCAGAGCTGAGACAGCAGCTCGCTGTATACTATTTTTGTTCCTCAGCTATTGAGTTTCAAGCTGACAGGAAACTGCTGGTCTAAGCTGACCAGTTTCCTGTGGAAGGTGCATGAATGCAGCTGTGATTGTACTAACATAAATAGCAGTAGACTGACCACCAAACAATATGATGGAAAGGTTAGTGGTTAAGTTATGGACAGATAATGTCACATCAGCTGTGACACTAGAGGGCACGAGGAGTGATGAAAGAACAAAGGTGACGTGTAGGCGGCCTAGTGAGCACAGACTAAACCACAGACGGTTTGAGTCCCAGACAGCGAGGTAGGACCAGAGATAGCTGGACTGAGACTGAGCTCATTTTCTCAGTGTTTCTTTAATTCTCTGTGTCTTGTTAGGCAAGATGACAGAGTAAAAAGAGAAGAAGAAGGGCCACAGTGGGGTAAACAGGAAGTAGCCACATCATTGCCGGAGGCCTGGTACACTTTGAAGGTCTCCACCTACAAGCTTTAGAGTCCTTTGGTCTCATTTTAATAGCACCACCCTGATTAGTGGAAAGTTAAAGTTGAGGAAACGTGAGCCCACACACATCGACTGATGTCACACCCCACCCTCAGCTGACAAACATACAGTTCCTTTAATGTCACTTCATATCGTGACTAGCCAGATTTCCACAGCACCTCAGAGATGTGTCCAATAACCACTATTTAGAAGATATTTGCGATAAATCCAACACTTTCAAGTCAAGATGGACTCGGGGAAGTATGATGCTCAGTTTTACACAGACTGTGAAGAGTTTCATATCGAACTGATAATTGTAATTTTACCAATTTACATATTTCTGCTCAAGTGTATAAATGTGACTACCATCAGTAAATGTACGTGCCTAGCCTCGTTTTATGACGGCTTGTGATCAGACCGGATAAAAGTATGACCAAACAAATACTTACAATAAATATTTTACTTTAAAAGCCTGATTCTTTTCAAAGAATACTGCTTATGTTGCCATAAGCTAGCTGAGAAAATTGATCTCATTCTTATAGTTTTGCGCTAAATAGAAGTAAGACACCACCAAGCATGAAACCAGAAAATGGGACAAAAGCTAGCTTGTCCCAGATCATGGTTTTTTAACTGGCTTTGTTTGCCTGTTTTTATTAAAGTGGAAATTGTTGTAAATGCCGATATATTGCAGTGTAGCAGTGACTCTGTAGAGCCAGGTTAACCTTTTTCCCTAGTCTTTATCCTGGCAAAGCATTAGCAAACAAAGCTTGCTAATGCTAATAGGCTAACTGGCTCTCAATCCGGTCGTTAAGTCTGACGTCACTAGCCGTGTCTGGGCCTAAACTCCGCTGTAGGTCCATATATCAAACGATCACTATGGCATTACTGAGAGTTAAAAACTGTCTAAAGTCTTTCATCTTTAATAAAATGATCAGTGTTCTGCTCTACCGGGTGTAAAAATTGAGTTTAACATCCAGGCATCCATGAAAACGGAATTTATGACATTTAACTGAGTTAGAAGTTAGCAGGAAGTTAGCTCGCTAGCTTCTAAATACAATATAGCATGTCCTGACTGCGGGGTTTTGGAAACAAATTAAAACGTACAGCTCTGTTATCACTTCCAACATAAATAAAGACAGAAAACTAAACAGCAGTGAAGTTTGTAGGGTTACTGAAGTTTGGCTAGCCGTTTTAAAAATGGAGCTTAAATAAATGATTAGCGGTAATAAAAGCCGAGGGAGGTCAACAGTGATCACTGGCTGTTTTAGGAGCTTTTTGAGATTAAATAGAAGAAAATACAAAACATTAAACATGTTAACAACACAAAAGCCATATTAAACGCAGACTACTTTAGGCCCGGAAGTAGGATTTGTCACGTCATCACTTAACGACCGGATTAAACTTCATACTCAACAGAGAGACATGAAACCCTTCAAACTTGCTAATTATATTATTGTACAATTACAGAACCACTTTTAAAAAGATCACTGTTGTGTTATATAATGAGGATTATGGAGCTAGTGAAAGTATTAGTATGTTTAAGAGAACTTGACTAGCTATTTCCTGCAAAGTTCCTCTAAAGTCAGGGTTTGATCACAAGCTACGAGATAATTCATTCCCTGGTACAATTTATTTATTATTAGTGAATTATTTTTAAAAAATCATTTACAGTGCTGTACAGAAGTCTTAAGTCATCCCATTTCTTCCTCTCATTTCTTTATATTCTATTTTCAATGAGCCGAATTTCCTTGTAATTTGGTCTTGAGCAATAACTCTCTGACGTTAGAGTCCAGTCCGTGAACCTATTTTTATTAATCCACTTAACACTGACCTATGAGTAATTCTAGCATAAAAAAGGAACTTAATTCCAGGGATGAACCACAGTTGTGTGTAGATATAACAGAACCAATTTTAAATGTTGCTTTAGGCACTTCTCTGCAGGCCTGCCACAGAAACATAGGATTTGTTCCCATTTTTTATTGAATATATGACAAATGCCAAAGATAACTCACCCTGACAGGCACAAAACAGTATATTTCACCGACAAGGTGATTCCCTAAGTCCTTTTAGCTAGAAACATGACGCTATCAGTCATGGATTGGTCTCCCCGTGCCCAGATGGCCACATTATTGAATCAGTGTGGAATTATCTTGACCTTGGAATTATGTAGGGAGCAGAACAAAAAGCAGCCAACATTAAATGTCCTTAAAGAAGTCTAGAGAATTCCTGAAGACTGCTTAAAAAAATTAGAAAGCTGCCTAAGACAGTTCAAGCTATGTTGATGCCTATTGTGAAAGTCATGTCAAACTGTATACATCTATGTAATGTTTGCACATTTTTCAGTAGGACTGCACTTTTACTTGCAAAATTCAAAGAAATAAGGGGTGGCTAAAGACTTTTGGTAAAGTACTATATGTCTCTGAGGACTTTGGATGCCATACACAGAGAATATGTCTGTGAAGGTTCTCAGTCATCCAGGTCATCGTAGTCTAAGGAGCTTGGAAAGAAAAGTGTCTGGACTTTTTTAAGTTGCTTGAAGACGTTTCACCTCTCAACTTAAAGAAGTCCAGACACTTTTCTTTCCAAGTTCCTTAGACCATACACAGAGAAGTTATGCAATGCAGTTTTAGCTTGCTGGTGCCCAATTTAAATGTCTGTACTTTAGGACTTTCAGAGGCTCTGCAGGTTCTTCCTTTGTAACACAAGTTAAACGCCTTCAGTCTGAAGCTTCATATTTAATAGAGAGGCATTCAATGTTCTCATTTAATCCTGTAAAATAAGAACATCTTCAAAAATGTCAACATATGACATTTATTAAAGGATTGGTAAGTACTTGGGTCAAATGCCTTATTCCTCATCATTAACATTGACTCTGAAGGTGTGTGTTCGACCTTTACAATACTTTATGAAAGGACAGATGCAGTATGACTGTGCAGACATTTGCACATCATACAAGCCTGCACTTTCATATACAGTATGTAGGCAAAGTTACACAGCCACAGGAACTTAGCTCTTGCATCAGTTTCCTGTTGAAAGGCTGCATCACTTTAGTCCCAGAGCAAAAAGAAAAAGAAGCATCCACTACCTAACACAAGATATCTCAGGGTAGCATGAGGAGAATCATGAAGGGTCACCAGCATTGAGGAAGTTCTACTTCCATACTGGTGCAAGTCTGGGATATTAATATCCATGTGAGGCAGATAAAATAGATGCAGCTCAGGCAGCTACTTCCTTCCACAGTACTGAACAACGCTGACACCAATGGCAGAAAAAAAAAAGATTAGAGTTAAAAAATTATGGTACGACTGTTCTGTAGAAACTCATCTAGTCACTGCTAGTGTCTGTGCTAACCTGTCGTGCCTTGAAAACCTGAGAGGAAACACCATTAAGTACTGCACTGATTCCACCCTGTGCAAACACCGCTGAGCACAGTATCAGTGGGTCTAGCACGCTGTACGCTTTAAAAATATATCCTTGTATTAGGGTTGTTTGGTCAGCCGCTGGGGGCTAGTATGAGGCCCTCAAGAGAGGTGACGCAAAGTCTTAAAGCTTTTTGTGTAAATTGAAACCGTGAATTCTATGGTCTACGACGAGGGGTGTGTAAAACAAAAAAAAGTGGGGTGTTAAGCAACTGTGGTCAACTTCGCCATTGTGCTTAAAAACCCACACAACCCCCTTGTTATGCCTTTGCTATCGGCTTGTTTTCTAGTATGAACCACCTTTGACTTCTTTGGTTATACCGCATGTAATTATAGGCAAAGAAATCAAAGGGCCACTGTTTCTTCTACGAGTCTTCTACAAAGTTTTCTTCTTTGTTGTACAAGGTACAGATCCTGTGGTGTAAATGTGAATGTGATCCCTGATTTCTTGGAATGTCAGTTGGTCAGTTTAAAGTTTACACGTCATTAGATAAGAACAAAACTGTTTCGTTTCTAAAATTTGAAATGTAAAAGCCTTGCATCTGCTCTGGCTGTCAGTGAACGCAGCACGGCCACCTGCTTACCTATGCGAGCTGTCTCTGCCTTGAGGGTGCTGAAGTCCCAGTTGCGAGGTAGTTTCAGAGACATTGTCCTTCATTCATGCCACGGGTCAGTGTTTTAGTTCGCACATGCACCTCGCCGGAGCACACACACGCACACAGACACACAAACACACACGCATACACACACACTCAAACACACACAGAGAAAGAGGAGATCTCGCAGATCAAACTTCCTTCTTCCTGTGTGTTAATCTTCTCTTTTTTTTTCAGCTGTTCACAACGCGTCCCCTCGGGTTGCCTTTACTTCCATGTTCTGGTAGCTTACAGCAGAAATGGCTTCCAGGTTGTTTCACTAAAAGGTGCAAAAAGCTCCAGGGCTTCATGTAGTGGGGAAATCTTCAAGTGGTTTATGCTGGATGGTGTCACAAGAAGAAGAAGGGGGGAGAAAAGAAAAAGCCACCGGCGTCTTCTTAAAGGAAATGGTTTGTACCTCTTGGTGTCACTCCCTTAGTGAGCATGTTGCTTCACAGCTCAGCCCTCACTGAAGCAAAAGTCAGTATTTACAGAGGTGTTGTAAATGCTGATTTTTACATCTAAGGTGAAAGGTTAGGCATCTCACAGTGGCCCACAAAATACTCCCGACTGCACTGATACTCCATCATTAAACAAGTGAGCAACTATTACACAGCTGGGTGTAAGGAAGTCAACTAAATGCAACTAAATGGGGAAGAAGCCCAAGAAGGAAGAAACCAGTCACGCAGTAACCACTTTTTTTTTTAAATACCTTTTAATTTTCTCTGAAACAAGACAAAGCACATTTCCGCATCAAAAAGAGTACAGCTTTTCTCTAGACAATGTACAACGCAACACAAACCATTGCACATTTGAATAATTATATAGTGAAATCATATAGCTGTATAATAACTTCAAACCACAAAATATAACACAAGGCAGGAGGGGAGTCTACACAGCATGTGGGACAGACACATCTCTCCCATACATTCCTTTTTTT